AAAGTGAGTGTCCTATATACGTATATAACGATCAATTTGCAAATTTATTATAAATTAAAAATATAATTGAATTTATTTATTCATTATTTGTGTTAATCGTCATGGGAGTATCATTGATGAGAATTTCATGAGAAAATATATTTATGAGAATTTTATTAGAAACTTTGTATTCGGAAAAAAATTGAGTTTCTTTTTTATTCACATAAATTAATATAATTATATGTCATTAAATTTTTGAAATCTTTATTCAATTGATCAACTTCCAAGTTATTTATAATTGCAATTGTAGATTATATATATATATATAGCATAGAAATAATCCAAAGAATAGTTATTTGATGAAAAATTGAATTTTTCACTAAGGTATTACTATGATAACGATTTACCTTGTACCTAGAATTCTGATCGTGGCGAAAGAAACATCAGTTGTCCGAGTGTGATCACTGATCACGCTGTTACGTCAACAAAAAGCATGATTTCACGTCGTGATGGGATCATTCTCTTCTCAACTAATGTAAGAAGGAGAGAGAGAGAGAGAGAGAGAGAGAGAGAGAGAGAGAGAGAGAGAGATTTCTAGGTTTTCTCAAGCTCTAAACAAGTAAGTACAATTCCTCGAAGCCTTTTTTACGATCACTAACGATTGGGAATTTACCGTGGCTATCTAAATGTCCAAGCTTAAGATTTGCGTTACAAAGTTCTTTACGTTCTTATCATTTTACGATATTGTAAAATAAATATGCTAACGTTGTTATAAGTAAATCGATCTTGGTATTTGCGATTGGTTTTTTTTTTCTTATTTTTTTTTTTTTAAGATAAATCGAACGACAAAATAAAAATGAAAAATAAAAAAAGTAGACATCGATATCGATAATGTAACTAATTGATCTATTAGATTCCGATGTATGGTTATTTAACTTAAGAAAATTATATCACAAATGCGAGCATAACTAAACGTATATTGCACAATCAATTTAAAAGGAAAAAAAAAAATTAAGAAAAAAAACCCAAGTGTTGAACCAATCGGAAGTGTGTTAAATCAATGATAATCAGATTAAGTATCGAAGTTCATAATAAATAATAATAATAATATGAGATAGAGACAGAGTGGTATATATGATTATAAAGATTATGTTATATAAAATGATTTTGTGATCAAGAGAAAAAGGTAAAAAAAAAAAAAGTATAGAACATATTATAACGTTTAACGTAGAAACGATAGTTCGATTGGAACGATACTAACTGATGTGAGATACACAGATGTAAAAGAGAGGATGAACTTTCGAGCGTATAACGGTCAAGATCATCGCTTACTGGATATCCTTGAATTTCACCGACAATATTTTTGCTTCGGGGAATTTTCAATATAATTTGCCATTTTACTTGCCATTAAATTCTCTTTTTATAAAACACTATTACTGATTCTCTGAAAATTGACTGATTTGAATTTTTGATTTTTGTCTCTTAAAAAAAATATACTTTCTATTTTTTTCTTTTTGTAAGCAAACTATGTTCGATTTCAAATGAAATAATTTAAATTAAGTTTCGAGAAAAGAAAATTATTTTTCCCTTTAATAAAAAAAAGAACGAAACGAGGAGGAGGAAAGTTTAAGGCAGTTGTCTTTTTTCTTTCTTTTTTTTTTCCTAAACAATTTTTCGACAATTCATTTTTATACACGCACGCAACATATTTAAGTGTTCTCTGTTGTAAAAGTAATTTAATATATTTTATTAAAATAAAACAATTTGTTTTACAATTACAAACAAATTCGGTAAATTAAAGGAAAGAAAAATTGAAAAGTATTCCTTTTTTTTTTTCTTTGGGGAAAAAGTATTGAAAGAAGAGATCTTTGGTTAGAAGGTGTTAACAAAATGTGTTGTTCATTATATATTTTTACAATTAATTCTTAATATATTTATATAAATATTAGAAATAAAACAAATATATTACGATAAAGAATATCAAGAAATTTTGATCGATTCAAACAATTTAGGTAAAAGGAAGTAAACTTCATTGAATGAAAAAAAAAGAGGAGAGAAAAGGAAGAGTACGGTTTGAAAGTTAAACGTTAGATGGATATGGGATAAAATATCGAACGTGTTTCTCTGTGTCGATAGGGGAATTTGAAATTTTTCCATTAATCTTCGATGAACATACGGAAGTATCGTAC